GTAACATTTATAAGGTAACATTAGCTCTAAGGACTTAAGTCCAGAGATAGGGTAGATTGCATGCTGTTTGATGCAGTAGCTCAAGGATGTAATCCTGGGACCAAGTGTTTACTATTTCTCTGCTTCACTGGCTTCAGCACAGGTTTCTTCCAAAGCCTGGAGACCCCTGTGGTTATAGGCTGGCAGCCAGAAGCGCTCAGGGTTTGCCAAGTTAGAGGCACAATTTCTACTGCACTTTTCCAAAGGAGCTCCCTTCTTTGTCAGCAGGACTGGGCAAACTTCCCCTTAGGTTTCATTGGCTCAAACTGGAAATTCACCAGGGCAAAGTGCATTGGATTCCTCTGACTAGCTCAAACTAGGGCAGTCGCCTTGTCAGTGACTCCCAGGCACACAAGGAGAGAGGTGAATACTTGAAAGCAAGTCACAGCACCCGCATGTAGAGGCCTGCTGGGGCACCTGTCTGCATTTTCCAACCTCTTCTCCACAACCTTAACACGAGACTTAACACAGGCCCTGAAGCTGCATTAGATGCCTATTTAATTAGCATGCTTGGCAGTAAGAGATCAGAAGACACAGATGTTTAGGAACTAAGCTATTCCACTCGATAAGGCCTGGGGTGAACATAAGAAAGGGGATGTGATTTCGCCTTCCTTCTAGCAGTTCTCAAGTTGCAAGTGACCTTTTAGCACATGCAGCCTTCCCTACTGTGACTTGAAGTTTAAGGTCAAAGAATGCATTTCTTAAGTGAGGACTGAAACACAAGTCAATTACTCAATCTGGAGTTTATATGAGAAAAAGGATAGTGACGACTCAACACTGTTCTGTTTAGTTTCCTTATGGTTTAAGTGTTTGTCAAATTTCTCATCTGAAACAGAGCTTTAAACATTTACTTAGGAAAACTCTAACTGGGTTTGTTTTTTTTTTTTTTTACTTTATTAAAATACTGAGTTTATTTCACATGTATATTTGTCTCCCCACCATTTCCACATCTGACCACTGCTACTACTGTGTCCTATCATAACATTCCATACATACTTAAAACCAAGCAAAACCTTTTTTTAAAAACTAAACAGGCATTTTGGACAACACATTCTTGGCAATGGAACCTGGACAACATTTATCAAACACGGTAAGGAAAGTCCTCACTCTGCATTATAAAAAGGACAGCTAGATATCAACTGTTACAGAAATGAAATAAGACGCAAAATTTTAACAAACTGTTTAAACTATTTTCTTAAAGAGACTTCCTCCACTGCCATAGATCTTGAATAGCCTCCTGGCCAGTCATCCGGAAGCAATTCTTCACATAATTGATGAATTTGGCTTCCACTTTGGGAAGAGAACCACCTTTTTCTATACTTGCTTGCATTTTTGCTTTAATGTCTTCTACGGAAGTAGGTCCTTTTGGTGTTTTAGGAGTTTTTTCCTGTTTTTTGAAGGATTCTTGACCTTTTGATCTTGGTGTTGATGGTTTTGAGTCTTTCCCATTCTGGTTTGATATCTGTGCATTTTTGGCTAGGGTATCTCATATAGATTTCTTCACTGGAGCTTTTTCTTCAGTTTCCTCATCATCAAAATCATCATCATCGTCGTCATCTTCATCTTCTTCAGCAGCAAGCTTTACTTTTTTCTGTGGCACCTTGCTGCCACCTCCAGGGGCAGATCGTTTTCCAGATATTCTTAATAGCTTCACATCCTCTTCCTCTTCGTCTTCTGACTCTGCATCTTCCTCCACAGCTACTAAGTGCTGTCCGCTACTATGCACAGGCCCTGAACCACACTTCCACCTTAAGACCGCAGGTGGTGTTATTTCAGAGCCCCCAAGGGAAACCGTTGGCTGTACAGACATTTTCAACGTTGCCAGTGTGACTGTAATCGGGCTAACTGGGTTTTAATAAGAGCTCACAGCAATGTGTGGGGCCACTTCAATAACTGCAGGATAAATGTACATCAGTGTGGAAGTTAAAACCTTATCTTTACAACTTCCCTGAGGCCTTTTGGCCAACTCTGCTCCCTGGTTGGGAAAGCACCCACAGGGAAAGGAAGTGGCAGCAGGCCTCTTGGGAGTTGGGAAGGCTGAACACGAGGAAGTTTCTAGCCAGTCACTGCAATCCCTGTAAATGGCTATGTGAAACCAGGAGCCATTTCTCTGGCCTGTGACACTTTAGTAGCCTTAGCTCGGGGGCCTACAAAAAGCAGGGACATGTTGGCTTCACCCAAGCTCAACAAGCAGTGGTGCCTTAGTTATACTTCCACCCAACCCTCTGGTGAGCCTTCATAAAAGGAGCCAGCAAGCTCCTGCCCACCCATGAGTTTTTTCTGCTATGTCAGGAAAAGTTTAGAAGGCTCTGGTTGTTCCGCAGGGCTGAAGGAAATGCTCCAATATGGGGCAGGACTGCCCAACTCCCACTGCCAGGGATGTAATAAAATGCAGGACAACAGGTACAGCCCACTCCAAGGTGGCACACAGCGAGTGCAGTATAGAACCTAAAAACAAAACTGACATTTTCTTTGTTACTGCCACATGCCATAGTAATCCCTATTTTAAAAGATGGGGCTTATCAAGTAAAGAGGCTGCCTGCAATGCCCACATCCCATATGGGCGCTGGTTTGAGTCCTGGCTGCTCCACTTCTGATCCAGCTCCCTGCTAATGTGCCTGGGAAAGCAGCAGGAAGATGGTTTAAATGCTTGGGCCCCTGCACCCATGTGGGAGAGCTGGATGAAGCTCCAGGCTCCTGGCTTCAGTCCGGCCCCGCCCAGTCATTGCAGCCAATTAAACAGTGAATCAGTGGATTGAGGAACTCTCTCTCAGTCTCTCCGTCTAACTATGTCTTTCAAGTGAATAAAATAAATCTTTTAAAAAAAGTTAATTTAAAGGGCAGAGGGTCACACACACACACACAGATAGAGAACCTTCCATTCACTGGTTCACTCCACAAATGCTCACCAACAACTGGGACTGGATCACGCTGAAGCCAAGAACCCAGAATTCAATCCAAGTCTCCTACGTGGGTGGCAGGGACCCAAGTACTCAAGCCATTACCTACTGCCTCCCAGGGTGTACATTTACAGGATGCTAGGATCAGGAACCAAACTGGGACTCAAACTCAGACACTGTGGTAAGGGATGTTCTCAAGTGGCATCTTAACAGCTGTGACACGCACCATGTCCACAGGTAATTCTAAACAAATATTAGTGACAAAATACCCCATTTAACCAATGACTCAAGAGCATTCCTATCAATGAGTTAAGTTTTCCACTTTATCCGTGACCACTTCAGTAGGTAGGTAAAGCACTCCACACTGATACAAAGGCCAACCTTCCTTCCTGGGATTCCCAGTCCTGCCAATGCAGTGATACTGCTGTGTTACTCATGGACTTTTCTTCCTGACCAGCTGAGACAAAAACAACTGGGTTTCTAGTCCCAATTCTATCATTTACTGCTGTGTAACCATGGGCAAGTAACCATCCTATGCTGCCTCTTAAGTAAAAAGAGAATCAGAATATTATCTTTCCCCTAGGATTATTTTGAAGATTGAGGATGCTATAAAATGTTTATCACACTGGCAAACATAGGAGTCATATTTTCACTATTATGTTCTGAGAATTAGCACCTATTAGCACACAGGCTACCAACAGTTTATTTTTGCTCCTAATCTGTGTGTCTAGTTTGAGAACTGAGCTCATCCTATATAAATGAGAATGTCTGTTACACAAATCATTTGCATAAGCTGTGACCATTTTTTAAATAGGATTACCTGCATTACTTTTTCTGTAAGACTTAAAATTTGAAAAAGCAAAACATTTATTCCCAGGATTTAGGGTCCTCTTAGAATACAAAGAATACACTACGCCAATTAACTCCAGTTCATGCCTGAAGTACTCAGAACACCTTAATTGAAATGTATGTAGTCTAGCCACATGTAATATAATTAGCTATACAGTTAAGTCTCCAAAGTTTTCTTTTTGTCTACTTTATTCTTTATTTTTTAAGTATTTCTTTGCTAGTATTTAAGTATTTATTTGCCAGCTACACGGGAAGCCCAGATTGAGTTCAGAGCTCCTGGCCATGGCCTTGCCCTATCCTTGCCATTGTGGTCATCTGGGGAGTAAACCAGCAAATGGAAGATCTCTTTGTGCCTTTCAAAAAAAAAAAAAAAAATCCAACAATATAATTCCATTTTACTCTCTAAGCCTCTCCCTACTTCCTTGCACGCTGACCTCTCATATCTCAGTGAGATAGTTAGCACAGGCTGCACTATCAAATATCCTCTCGTGCTCATGTTCTCATGTACACCTTGAGGAGGACAGGAACATGATTAATATACCTTTGTTCACATACACTTTTAAGTTCAGCACCTTACCTCAGAAGCCTATATCCATTGATGTGAAAAATTATAAATATCAGAATAAAGTGGTAAAGAGTCAGTCATAGCACATCATTTTCATGGACTCTCAAGACATTTTTAAAAAAAATATTTATTTATTTGAAAGAGTTACACAGAGACAGAAGAGGCAGAGAGAGAGAAAAAGAGGTTTTCCATCCTATGGTTCACTCCCCAAATGGCCGCAACAGCTGGAGCTGCGCTGACCCGAAGCCAGGAGCTTCTTCTGGGTCTCCCATACGAGTGCAGGGGCCCAAGAACCTGGGCCATCTCTACTGCTTTCCCAGGCCATAGCAGAGAGATGGATTGGAAGTGGAGAAGCCGGCAGAAGTGGGATTTCGACACTTCAGGCTAGGGTGTTAGCCCATTGCACCACAGCACCGGCCCCAAAACATTGTTTTTCTCATCTTTTTCAATATTTTAAAAACGTATTCTTAGAAAAACCAACCTTTTTAAAAACTAAAATTTTAGCAAAAAGTAGATTTCCTTTCACCTCATAGAACTTAATTTCTGCACACTGAAAGGTTCAGCATCTGGTGATTTCCAACCTCTTAGGTTACACAGAATTCAAGTATTCTCTGGCTCTCTTCTAGCTTCAACTTCTGTTCTTGCTGTTCTCACTTTTTTTTTTTTTTTTTTTTAGGTAAGTGATCATTAGAAGGCACTAGATATTAAAATTGATAACCCCATGTATACAAATGTTTATGACTTGATTTTTTAAAAAAATAATACATCACAAAATTAGCATAAAGTTAGTTACCTGTATCCGGAAGGGAAGGAATATAGAATGGAATGAGACAAAGGCTAGATTTTTTTGAATACATCTTGTTTTATGACCCTGAATTCAGAACACATTTCAAGTCCTTGTAACATGAAGTATCAAAGCTAAAAAATATGTAATCCATAAAACTCATAAAGCAACAGCCAGCGCTGGGATAGGCAGAAGCCAGGAGCTTCATCTGGGTCTCACCTGTGGGTGGTAAGGACAAAACATTTGGGTTGTTCTATGCTGCTTTTCCCAGGCCACTAGCAGGGAGCTGGTCAAAAGCGGAGCAGCCAGAACATGAACTGGCACCCAAATGGGATTATCAGTGTCGCCTAGTGGCAGCTTCACCTGCTACACCATAACATCAGCCCCCAAAACATGTATTTCTAAGTTCCATCCACTGAAAAGCAAACCCAGAAGCCATGACCATGAGAAATAACTGACCTTGGGTCTAAGGCAGGAAGTACACAAAGGATCTTCTGCATATATATTTCAATTTTTTTGCACCAAAATGAATTGATCATTTAACCTCATTTTCCAATGAACTTTATGGAGTACTATTCTACAAGATAAGCCTGGAACATCTTAACATATACATAAAGTTAAGAAGAGTTGAAAAAAATAAAAAATGAAGGGGGGGGACAATTTGAGCAACAAGGCTAATACTGCAAGGACTGAAACACATGTATGTTAAAATTCACATTAATATTTTTAAAAGGAATTTATCACAGTTGGCAGATGCCAATGAAATGACTTATTCTGAAAAACAAAGAAAACCTGGTAAATTAAGGAAAAGCATCAAACATTTATCATGTGCTTCGTGTACAAATTATACCAGTGAGCAGCAAAAGAGCAGATAAATTTCTCTCTTCAGGGAAGTATTTCAGCTTTCAAGCAAAGAAGGAATACAGAATTAAAATGTCACAATTTTGCAACCCCTATTTAATAAATGGATCAAAATCAACCAGTAACAGCTAGTAAAATCCCACCAGAACATATTCGCCTCCAGATTAGAATGACCACTGCTGCCTTAACTAGTCTTGCCAAAAAGCAAAAAAAGAACCCAACTCTAATAAAGTGTTCACATTCAACTACAGATTATAAGTTATACAGAAGACAAAAAACTACAACGTTGCAATAAAAAAAAACATCCAGCCTGTGGGAAACCTGTAAGCACTGCTTCTCAAACTATGTGCTGGATCAATTTTTTTCCCCCTAGTTTAATTCACTGAAGACTAATACTTTTATAAAAGCCAAAGTTAAAAAAAAATCCCATTTTTTTATTGTTACATCTAACAGACATAGAATCACAGTCAAAAACGTTTCTAAACACTCAATTTCCATACTTATGTCATCACAAACTGATACCAAACACTTTATGGATCAATATTGGATCCAATTCTTTATCAAATAAATTATGAGAGGGGGCCGATGCTGTGACACAGGTTAATCCTCCACCTGCGGTGCCAGCAACCTATATGGGCATCGGTTCTAGTCCTGGCTGCTCCTCTTCCCATGCAGCTCTCCGTGACGGCCTGGGAAAGCAAAGGAAGATGGCCCAAGTGCTTGGGCTCCTGTAACCACATGAGAGACCAGGAGGAAGCTCCTGGCTTTGATTGGCCCAGCTCCAGCTGTTTTGGCCATCTGGGGAGTGAACCAGTAGATGGAAGACTTTTCTGTCTCACCTCTAACTGTCTGTAACTCCACCTCTCACATAAATAAACAAAAATCTTTAAAACAAATTGAGAGACAACAACCTGTATTTTAAAAAATATAAAGATTGGGGGCCAGCGCTGTGGCATAGCGGGTAAAGCTGCTGCCTGCTAGTGCCGGCATCCCGTATGGGCACTAGTTCAAGTCCTGGTTGCTCCACTTCCAATCCAGCTCTCTGCTATGACCTGGGAAGGCAGTAGAAGATGGCCCGAGTCCTAGGGTCCCTGCACCCAAGTGGGAGACCTGGAAGAAGCTCCTGGCTCCTGCCTTTGGATCAGCACAAGTTCTGGCCATTATGGCCAACTGGAGAGTGAACCAGCAGATGGAAGCTCGCTCTCTCTTTGCCTCTCCTTCTCTCTCTGTAACTCTTTCAAGTAAATAAATAAATCTTTAAAAATATATAAAGATCTATCACAGAATCACAAAGTATAGACTTTACTTAGATCTGGATTCAGACATGATAAAATTTTAAAAATTATGATACAGTTGAAAAGCTCACCTGGGCTTTTATAAGTAGATGATTTAAAATAATATTGGTTATGTTAAAAAGAATCTGTATCTTTTAGATAATATGAAATGAAACATGGGTAAAATAACATACAGAGATTTACTTTTCTTTTTTTAAGATTTATTTTATTTATTTGAAAGACAGAGTTAGAGAGAGAGAGGCAGAGCCAGAGAGAAAGAGAGAGTCTTCCATTCTGCTGGTTCACACCCCAACTGGCCGTAATGGCTGGATCTGCGCCAATTCGAAGCCAGGAGCCAGGAGCTTCCTCCAGGTTTCCTACACTGGTGCAAGGGCCCAACAACTTGTGTCATCTTCCACTGCTTTCCCAGGCCATAGCAGAGGGCTGGATCAGAAGAGAAGCAGTTGGTACTCGAACCAGTCCCCATATGGGATGCCAGTGCTGCAGGCTGGGGCTTTAACCGGCTGCACCAGAGCGTCGGCCCCCAGAGATTTACTTTTGAAAAAACAAATTCACTTATTTATTTGAAAGGCAGAGTGTCAGAAAGACACGAGGGGAGTTAGAGAGGTCTTCCATCTGCTGCTTTGCTCCCCAAATGGTTGCAACAGCCTGGGCTGGACCAGGCTGAAGCCAGGAGCCAGGAACTCCATCCTGATCTCCCACATGGGTAGCAGGGGCTCAAGAACTTGGGACAGCTGTCACTGCTTCCCTAGACACACTACCAAAAAGCTGGATCAGAAGCAAAGTAGCCAGGACTCAACCAGTGCTCCAATATGGCATGCTGGCACTGCAAGAGGAGGTTTAACAAGCTGTGTGAAAACACCAGCCCCTGAGATTTCCTTTAAAGTAAGAGGGTTAGTAGTGGAAATATATGTATTTCAATCATAGGTATATGACTGCCCTTGAGTTCATTAACTGTTGAAAACTAGGAATCAGTGTATGAGGGTGTATTATCCTAGTTTGATATTCTAGTATGCTTGACATGCTCCATAATCAAACATCAAAACAAAACTTGTAAGCTTTAAAAAAAACTGTCCCATATATTAAAGGGGAAAAAAATCCCAAAAGACCAGTTTTAGAGAGGCAAATTTCCACAGCATTCTGTGTCAAAAGGTTAATAAAATCTAAGAATTTTTATAGAAGTTGTATTGAATGCAGTCTATTTTTGCTTTGGCATCTAGGTGATGAAATGACAGAAACTTAACATAAGCTGCAATTCAAATTATATTCCTCAACCAACAAATGTTACATTGTGTAGCTGACTAAAGGAGGGAGATTACTTCAAGATTTTTTAAGAACATCTAACATTACACACAAAGAACACATTCATTTTTAGAAAACCTCACAAAAATCTTTTGTATTTAGAGCCCTGTGACAAAAATTACTAGTGTTAAGTGCAAAAAGCACCAGAAAGAAACATTATTTAGGATGTAGTTACCTGTCAACATTGATTACTGGATAAAACACAATAATCACCCTTCCAATTTCATGCTTTCATAGTTTATTCCCTTGGATCCCAATTCTAAAAGTAAAATAGTGGTTTTCTGGATAATTAGAAATAAGTTTCACACTTAGATCCTAAAGACTTCAAGGCTGATTGAAACAAGTTTCAGAATTTATAATTTCCCTGGTCATAAATGTCCCAGAAGCAAGCTCATTAGTAAAAGAAGATTCTTAAAAAAAAAGAGGACTCTTATTTACTCTGACCGTGTTGCTTCAGCTTCCTGGCACCTGATTCTGACCTTGGAATAGCTCTTATCCCTCTCATTACCTCATTCACCCATATGGTTTTAATTCCAGGACTTTTGGCACCCAAAAGCCACTTACCTCCCCACTCCACTCCCTAATAATGTGTGGCATGTAGCATTCTGTCATTGTGCTTAGGTTGTGGCTAAGTCTAAACTGAGTGTGTGGTGAGTTTGTGACAAGGAAGTACTGACTTTTTTTTTTCCTATTTCTTGTCAACTATGAAGTAACCTGTGCTTGTAAGCTAAGAAATACTCACAAAGCTGGGTTTTTTGTTGCTGTTGTTTCCCCTTCATTCACCTTCTATTACCAACTGGTACACTCTACTCTTAGAAGAGACTGCGGAATCAAATACTAAAACAATTCAAAGTCAACAGACTTTCATTTGAAGTATAGTCCTATAGGGCTATGTTCTACTAACAGTTCACTGAATTACTTTTTTGTATATTTACAAATTACATAAGAATTCAAATGGTTTAAAAAGTAACATTTGATGGTCCCCTGAAAGTAAAGGTTGCTCTGTAGATTCAAACTAATACTAAATGACTTGTTAGAAGCTATTTTAAATAGGTTCTGGCAGAAATAACAGGTGTTATCAGAAACAGAAGACATTATCTCCCCACAACACTTAAAAGATCAAGCAATGCTGTACTCAAATCTATTTCATCAAAAATGATGTAATATAATGTTATCCTGAAAAACTTGAGTTTTAGGAAACCTCTGATCTGTACATAAACGGTCAAAGCAAATTAAAACACTGTTATGCTATATGACTTCTAGTAATACATGAAAAACCCCTGTATGTCCCAAATCACAGGGGTTGTAGAGAACCTTGTCTGCAATCAGAGACAAGCAAGTCTTCAATAAATCAGTCACAAACAAGACGATATTTTAAATATACAGTAGGAACATTTATTTTAACACTTCTAAAAGATATTTCTCCATGCCTGATGATTTGATATAAAAATCAAACCCATCATACTTTCCCCATCAGTCTCTCTACATCAAGGGTAATCAGAAATTTGTACAACATGAATATTTGTTTCTTAAACAAAAATTACAAATTAAGTGATAACAAAAATACACAAATCAACTGTACCCTAAACAAATTTCTAATGAATATTTTCCCTTTTCTGCCTCCATCACCTAGAGCTTCTTTCTTCAGCCTCATTCTGCTCCTTTTCCTTTCTTTGCTTGGCCATGAATTTCTGTTAAAAGCAATTTACAATATAAAATACTTATTAGATGTTTTCCTGTGTGTGCAAACCTATCTTATGTACTTCCATATATTTACCATTTAAAGGGTAATCCCACAAAATAAAAATTAGAAACATAGTATATTAAGTAATTGCTTCCTTTAATTCATCAATCATCTAATATTTATGATATACCAAGCATTACACCTGGTCCTTGAGGATGTAGCTGGTCAGCAAGATAAGGTAAGGCCCTTTATACCACGGAGCTTATATTCTATTTGGGAAGAAAAAACAAACAAGATAATTCTGGGTGGTAGTAAGCACTCTAAAATTATAAGGTAATTGATCAAGCATGATCTCCTCATAGGGTAGGAGGGGGTGTTCCACTCTAGCTACGTCTTTTGAGCATAGGCCTTTCTAAGGAGCTGACATTTGCGTTGAAATCAAAGAGAAGAATTGGCCATGCAAGTGGGACTGGGAGAGGGCAAAGGAATAGCAATATAAAGTTAGCAAGAGGCCTTTCATGTATGAAAAAATGAACAAAGAGAACCTGAAAAGCTAGAATGTAGTGAGAAACAAAAAACTGAGTTCAGAGAAGTAGGAAAATAATCAATTAGATCATGCAGAGATTTACAGATCCAAAATGAAAAGACTGGATACTAGTCTAAGTGCAGTATGAAGGTGCTGAAGATTTTAAATGGAAAAATGGTAAGATATATTAATTATATATATATACATATACATATACATATATATATTAAAGAGTACAGGTAGCATAGCAAAGTGTGTGAGGGTTTGAGCCTAGAATAAAAGAGTTGGGTTCAAACACCAGGTTTAATGCTAACTAGGAATGTGACCTTGTGTTTAGATAGTCGACCATCTTAAGTCTGTTCCTTCATCTTTAATCAGAAGACAGCATCTACCTCCTAAAGTTGATGAGGACATTAAATAAGCTTCCAGCAAACAACAGCTCAGTTACTGTTATATGACTGGCTAAGGATGAGCCTCCAGAGTAGCACTTTCTAAAGACATGTACAGGAATTTTTGGTGGTTTTGGAAAGTGGGCTAAATATAAACAACCAGAAAACTAGACAATTTCCAAACTTTACTACGGTAATATGTACATGACTTCATAAGAGGGCATCAGAATACAGTTTCTCACACTTTAACAGAGTGTCATTTGAGATCACCAATCTGCTGAATCCACTCTGGCAAATGTTATCCAAGGAAAAGGAACAAGGACTAGAAATTACTGGCAAGGTACAGTTAAAGGAAAAAATAGGATTTTGGACTTGAGAAAAAAACTGGCATAAATATTCAAAAATTCTCCCAATGGGTAAAAAGGTATCTTTTGGGTAGACACTTAAACAGTTAAATTACAAGACAACAGAACCTGAAAATTTTATATATTAAGAATAAAAAAAATTACCTCTGTATTTTGCTTATGACGTGTACTCTTGCAGTGATTTGTCATTGCTTTTTCACCTGAGTAGAAAAGAGAACAAATTGGACAGAAGAATCCAGCCTTCGGTACAAGAAAGTCTAAATCTAGAAGACAGAAATTGAGATGGAAGAAAAAGGAGAAAAAATGGTTAACTGTTGTTAATCAATTTGTCCAAACATGAAAAACCTGCTAACTATAGTGTATGCTTACATACAAGCATAATATAACTGCTATGCATTTAGAGATCAAAAGCAGTATCACAAAACACAGGTCATTATATTTTAACAAACTCTACAATATTCCAGAACCTCCAGGGAATTCCAGAATGCCAGTACAATGACATATTGCAAGTTAACTAGATTAGATAACACAGAACTCCTCAGTTATGCTTCAGAACAATTCACTGGATAAGAATGTGGCAGTCTGAAATAAACCTCTTGGGAACCCCAGCTGAAATAAAACAGGGAGAAGCAGCATTATGATGGGCAGCTGTCTACTTGAGGAGTATGCAAATAAACAAATAAGGTCCTGGGCCAGTGCTGTGGCTCACTTGGTTAATCCTCTGCCTGTGGTGCCAGCATCCCACATGGGCACCGGGTTCTAATCCCGGTTGCTCCTCTTCCAGTTTAGCTTTCTGCTGTGGATGGCCCAAGTGCTTGGGCCCCTGCACCTGCATGGGAGACTAGGAAGAAGCATCTGGCTCCTGGCTTCGGATCAGCGCAGTGCCCGCCATAGGGGCCATTTGGGGAGTGAACGAACAGAAGCAAAACCTTTCTTTCTGTCTCTGTGTCTGCAATACAAATACCCTTGACCGAAAAATCAACCTAATAAAATGTCCTCATAACCACCGATGTGTAAAACTTGCTAGTTTCCACTTTAGAGCAGCACTTTAAGTGTCAATTATTTAATCAACAAAAACATTAACTATGATCTGGAATTTTTATTTCATAGGAGTAAGGAAAAAAAAATGTCATTTTACTTTACCTTCAGGAGTATCAGGTGCCCCCAGTTTGCCTAAAGAAGAGTCTTCAGTTTTCTTGCGTTTTCGCTCTGGTTCTGAATCCTTTAATCCAGGGTCTTCATCAACTAAAGCCATTACATTTTTTAAGGAGGGGGAAAAAAGCTATTATAGACTTTGTGAAGTTAACATTGGATATTCCCTACTTTCAAAGACTAACTTAAAATTCAAAGGAAACATTTTCCTTGGTTAATCCCACCTGACCACTCATCAATATTCTCTAAGATTCTCTGATGTAAGAAATAAATGAGTAAATTCAGAATTATTAAATGGATCTGGGGTGTAGGATGAAGGCTAATATAAATTTTAATTTATATATTGTTCCAGAAATAATTTAGAGGGATAAGGGAAGAAGTCCAATTTCTATAGTTACTGGCAAGAGTTAACTTATGTATGCAAGATGCTGAGTTGAGAAGAGAGTGAAGATTAGGAGAAAAGGATACCAGCAGAGATAATTTTGATGCCTTGTATTGTGGTGCTTCAAACCTAAACAACTTAACATAAACTGACAGCTTAAGATCCTTGTTAAGCAGAATCACCAGTGAAATGACATACATTCAAGCCTACTCTGTGCTAGCAGATCCCGCATTAACATGGTCTTGGGGCAGACATAAAAATGGAAACTGGTTTCAAGAGATTCTAGTTACCTTCAGTAACTGAAACACCCTACTGTTGCACAGTACTAAACAAACTCCTTTTACATTATTCATTTAGCTTTCATCCCACATGAGATAAGATTAATTATTAAATATTTCTTCATAGATGGAGAAAACAAGATTAAAAGAGGTAATAATCTATTATGATTCCAGTGCATAGCCAGCAGGTGACAGAAGCTAAACCAAGACTTGTGACTTTAAGTTCAGTGCTCCTCACTCCACACATTTGGGCTACACTTTACCAAATCTGAGGGTACAGCTACAAATTTTGAAATCAATACTCCTTCTTCTCTTAATCTTCATATTTTACTGGTTAGGAAGTCCTAGTCTATTTAAAAGTAGGGGAGAAAAAAAAGCTATCTTCTTTGCTTGAGTTGATGGTTAAAACAGCTTAATCTCCCTGCCTCTAATCTCTTCCTAAAATACTTTAACTCCTTACCCAGCTAAGGAACTTTCTCAAAACACATCTGGCTCCTGCCACTCTGAAGGCACACTTCATTTACGTTTAAAATGTTTGGGGTAATGTCTTTCTAAAGTTAGGTCCTTTTGTCAAACATACTGTCCATTAACTGAAATACACTATTACTAAGTAGTAAATAAGATAATTCTTTCTATATTATTCAAGAAATCCTAAAGGGGAAAACTACTAATCAGATTATTAAGCTACTACCTAAAGCTTGACATCATGGATTGTTTATGGAAGAGACCAGACAAGGAAGGAGGAATACCTATTGACCATGAGAAAGATCTTCAAAAAAGAGGTAGTGATCAATAGCAACAATGATGGAGAAAACTAAAATGAGACTAAATTAAGAGGAAACACAATTAAAAAATCATGTTTGACAACCCAATGGGGTTTATCAACATCAGTTTATAGAAGGTGGTAGAGAATGAAGCCAAAGAAAAAGTAAATGGGTGATTCGGGGCCGGTGCCGCGGCTCAACAGGCTAATCCTCCACCTTGCGGCGCCGGCACACCGGGTTCTAGTCCCGGTTGGGGCGCCGGATTCTGTCCCGGTTGCCCCTCTTCCAGGCCAGCTCTCTGCTGTGGCCAGGGAGTGCAGTGGAGGATGGCCCAAGTGCTTGGGCCCTGCACCCCATGGGAGACCAGGAGAAGCACTTGGCTACTGCCTTCGGATCGGCGCGGTGTGCCGGCCGCAGCGGCCATTGGAGAGTGAACCAACGGCAAAGGAAGACCTTTCTCTCTGTTTCTCTCTCTCCCTGTCCACTCTGCCTGTCAAAAAAAAAAAAAAAAAAAAAAAAAAAGGGTGATTCTGGGGTCAGTGTTGTGGCACAGCAGGTAAAGCCAGTACCTACAATGCTGGCATCCCATATGGTTTGGATTCCGACTGCTCTGTTTCCAATCCAGCTCTCTGCTAATGGCTTAGGAAAAGGAGAAGACGGCCTAAGTAACTGACCCCTGTCACCCACCTGGGTGACCTGAATGAAGCTCCTGGCTCAGCCCTGGATGTTGCAGCCATTTGGGGAGTGAACCAGTGGATGGAAGTGCTAACTCTTAGCTTTCAAATAAACAAGGAAATCTTTTTTTTTTTTTTCAAAAAGGGTGATTGCTTTTAGGTGCTTTGTTCTGAAAGGAAGGAGAAAGGAGCCACAGGGATCCCAAGCTTAAAAAGAGTTTTTAAAAAATGATTTGAAATATATAGTGAGTGTCTGTGTTGGGGGCAAGGGGAACAGAGACAGCACACATGCACACACTTCCATCCACTGATTCACTCCCCAAATAGCCACAATGGCCTAAGCTGGGGTAGGCAGAAGCCAGGAACCAACAACTCCATCTGGGTCTCCCATCTGGGTGGCAGGGACTCATGCATCTGGGCTATCTTCTACTGCCTTCCCAAGTGCATTAGAAGAAGGCTGGATGGGAAGTGGACAGTTGGCACTTGAACCAATGCTCCAATATGGGACGCTGGCACTGAAAATGGTATTCTAACCTCCAGCACCACAATGCTAGCCCTGGGGGAAAAAAAATTTGGTAGGACTTGATCATATAAAGCAGCCAACATAAGTAAAATTCAATTTGACAGACAAGAGAGATTCTGCATTTGCTCTGGCAGGTCATCCAGTAAGGAATGGGCTAGATGACGCAAATGGGGTAAAAAGTTATTTATACTGATCAGGAAACTGGAAAGGCAGGAGATCTCTGATAGATTGTGGAGCAGCACTGAGGGCCCAGCTGAGATTTCCAGTCCCAGCTGCTCCACTTCCAATCCAGCTCCCTGCTATGGCCTGGGCAAGCAGTGGAAGATGGCCTAAGTCCTGGGCTCATGCATCCACGTGGGAGACCCAAAATAGCTCATGGTTCCTGGCTTCAGATTGGTCCAGTTACGGCAGTTGCAGCCATTTGGAGTGGACCAATGGATGGAAGAACTCTCTCTCTGCCTCTGACTCGCTGTAACTCTGCCTTTCAAATAAATAAATAAATCTCTTAAAAAAACCAACCAAACAAAAAAAAAAAGACAACAGAAGGGGTTGGTGTACATCATAGCAGATGAAGCTGCCACCTGCAATGCCAGCCAAAATATGGGCACCAGTTCATATCCCAGCTGCTCCACTTCTGATTCAGCTCCCTGCTAATGGCTTTGGAAAAGCAGCAGAGTATGAGCCAGATACTGGGGCCCCTGCCATCCACATGGGAGACCGTAATGAAGCTCTTGGCTTTGGCTTGGCCCAGCCCTGGCCATTGTGACCATCTGAAGAGTAAATTAGCAGATGGAAAACCTCTCTGTCTCTCCTCTCTCTATAATTCTGACCTTCAAATGGGTAAAGCTTAAAAAAAAAAATGACAGGAAAGGTGCTTCAAAGAGAATGATAAGAGAGATACTCTTCGAGTGTTTTGAGGCACGCTAGTGGTTAATTTTTGCTTTACCTTTGTCTCACCCTGTCTCACCTTGTCTGTAACACCCTCAAATAAAAAAATAAAATATTAAAAAAAAACCTTTCATACATCATGTCCACAAATATGTCACATTCCAAATACTGATGCTTCATTATCTAAATACAGTTTTATTCATGTGAGACATCTGGAGAGAAAGACAGAAGATCTCTTTCAAATAAAACTAAAAAAAAATTAATTATTGCCTTTTTCCATTCCTGCTCTATTTCACCATTCTTCTATTTTTCTTCTCAGATGGCAGATCTTTGAATCGTTTCCCCCAACACTCCCAGTCTTGGTTTACCTTCCTCAATGTGGAAGGCCTCTTCACCTCTGCCTGCTTCTGTTCCAGCAGCTTTGTCTGATGGTGGTACTTTCCCAATTCTAGTTCTTTTGGTTGGTGTCTTAGCTTTAAAAACAAAGTCTCCTTTAGTGCTACAGTAGCCATATTTAAACTGCTTTAAACACATTAAATTATCTGAATATTAACACCTTACATTTTTGCAAATACTACCCAAGAGGCAGGTGTCTGGCACAGAGGTTAAGCTTGAGATGCTGACATCCCAAATTAGAGTGCTGGGCTTGAGTCCCAGCTCTGCTTCAGATCCAGCTTCCAGATAATGCACAACCTCGGAAGCAGCAGGTGATGGCTGAAGTTCTTGGGTCCCTGCCAAGAACATGGGCGACCCAGATGGGAGTTCCAGGTTAATGGCTTCGGTCTGGCCCAGCCCCAGCTGTTGGGGGCATTTCGGGAGTAAACCAACAGATGGAAGATCTTTCTTTCAAATAAATTAAATAAAAAATTTTAAAAATATCACTTTAGGGCAGCATTTGGCCTACTGTTTTAAGATGCCCACATCAGAGTACTTGGGTGGTTACTTAGCCCAGTGTCAGTTGTTGTGGACATTTGGGGGTATGAACCAGAAGATGAGTGCTCTCTCCATCTGGCACCGTCTCTCAAGTAAAATAAATGAAGGAAAATATATTTTTTATGAATTACGCTAAATCTTAAATGTAAACAAAAACTGGAAGACAATCTGGTGTGAACATCCTTTTGCTTATTAAAAAAAAAAAAAAAACACGTTTGAAGCTGGCGCCGCGGCTCACTAGGCTAATCCTCCGCCTTGCGGCACCAGCACACCGGGTTCTAGTCCCGGTGGGGGCGCCGGATTCTGTCTCGGTTGCCCCTCTTCCAGGCCAGCTCTCTGCTGTGGCCAGGGAATGCAGTGGAGGATGGCCCATGTGCTTGAGCCCTACACCCCATGGGAGACCAGGATAAGTCCCTGCCATTTGGATCAGCGCGGTGCGCGGTGCGCCGGCCACAGCGCACCAATCGTGGCGGCCATTGGAGGGTGAACCAACGGCAAAAGGAAGACCTTTCTGTCTCTCTCTCTCACTGTCCACTCTGCCTGTCAAAGAAAAAAAAAGTATGAAATCCATGCGGTTTTCTCTAATACATATTTTCTATGATTTTTTTGAAAATTCCTTATATGTATGGATTTTAAAAATCTTCTGCAATAAAATCAACTTATAATTCAATTTTTCATGAACTTCCTAAAGTTCTCACTTTTTTAAAGATTTATTTATTTGAAAGTCAGAGTTACACAGAGAGAGCAGAGAGAGGGGAGGGGAGGGGAGGGGAGGGGGAAAGTGTGTCTTCCATCCAATGGTTCACTCCCCAGATGGCTACAATGGCCAGAGCTGTGCCAATCCGAAGCCAGGAGCTTCTTCCAGGTTTCCCAAGCAGTGCAGGGGCCCAAGGACTCGGGCCATCTTCTACTGCTTTCCCAGGCCATAGCAGAGAGCTGGATCGGAAGTAGAGCAGCTGAATCTCGAACCGGCTCCCATACAGGATGCCGGCACTTCAGGCCAGGGCATTAACCTGCTGCACCACAGCACCGCCCCCCCCCCCTTTTTTTTTTTTTTGAAGTTCTCTTTTATTAATGGTTAGTATAATCTTTTGGCTTGGAACATTAATAAAGGGTGAATTAATGGTAATGCCACAATATAAATTTATTTTTAAAACACTCATTTGTTTTCATCTACTTAAAATGCAGAATGACAGAGTGACAGGGAAGGAGAAAGAGACACAGAGAGAGAAACAGATCAATCTTTCATCCACTGATTCACCACCCTAAATGCCTGTAAATACCTAGGCTGGGCCAGGTCAAAGCCAGGAGCCAAGAACAACATCTGGGTCTCCCAAATGCGTGTCAGGGATGCAGGCACTTGAGTTGTTATCTGCTGCCCAGGCACATTATCAGGAAGCTGGATATGAGGTGGAGGAGCTGGGACTTGAACTGACACTCTAATACAGGATGTGGGGATCCTAACCAGTGGCTTAATGTGCTGTGCCAAACACCTACCTCTACAACATATATTTTTAAATTAATTTTAAATGTAATCCTCTTATAAAATAGAAAAGCTACCACCTCCAAGTATCTACCTGCTAAGTGTCTTTCAATCATTGTTTTCAGATCTTCTCCCATAATATTCTCATTTACTGGACCCCCTTGAGACAAGGCTTCAAGTTTTGTCTTCTTTGTGTCCACAGCTCTTCTCTTCCTATCCCCCTTTTTATCTGTGGGACGGTCACTTTTGCTTTGTGCTAACTCTACTTTTAAATCGCTATCTCCATCTTCTTCCTCTCCAACTTCGTCAACAGTAACAAAATTCAGCTCTTCTTTAAGGTTGTTAAAATCAGCCAGAGAGTCTTCATCCTCTTCAGTTACTTCATCCAAAGTCACTAAATGCAAATCACTACTATCGTCTTGTATTTCATCAACAGTGACCAAAGCAGAAGGGTCTTCAGGCATCTGAGAAGAAATGAACCCCATGGATTCCCTTACATTATTTCCTTCATCTCCTTTAGTATTTAAAGTAGCAAAAGTTATATCTGCTGATTCATTTAAAGGTAGTTCTTCTACTTCTCCAATTTCATCCACAGTTACCAAGCGTTCCTGTTTGAGCAGATCTTGTTCTTCAGCCACTGACAGAACAGTAACATCTTTAGGTTCACTATGGGAAATGCAGTCATCTTGGTCAATTAATTCATCTAATGTAAGAAGTGAATTTGAATTTTTTACCATTTCTTCCATATTTAGTTCTTCTTCATCAATTACTTCATCTACAGTAACTAGAGTTTGTGCTAGGTGTGCAGCTGCATCTTCTTCTTCCCCAATCTCATCCAATGTTACAAAAGATAATTCTCCCTCAACACCACGAGGGGCAGAAGTCTTTCCCTTCTTCTTCTTTAAATTAAGTTCAGAAGGAGTATTTTTGAGAGCTTCTTTCCTTTTTCCCTTTAATGGATTCTGCTTGGCTTGAGAAGGATTCACTTCTTCTATAACCTCATCCACAGTAACGAATTCATCCAAATTAAATGGAAATAATGGTTCCTGTTGGAGAGTTAAGAATCAGTGTTGTGAACAACTATTAACCAACTGGCCGAGTTCCCATAAGTCACAATAAATGTGGTGTATGTCTTTCGAGGGAATTTTAGTACAAAGAAGTTTCCTAAAGGTCAAAATTCATTTTTTTTAAAAGCACCACAAATGAATCAACTATTAAAAGTAATGCCAAAAATCCTAACAATATCAATCTTCTATTTTTACCTAATTTCAATTAAGATTACAATTACTTCATAAATGATATTTTGAACTATAAATGCAAAAATGCTTCATTTAAAGGATCTGTCAAACAATATAAACAAATAATTTACTGTTCTGTACATGAAATATCTACCAAGTGTTCTTGGAGACTTACTGGACTTCTAACAGCACCCCAAAAAAGATACACAGTACCAGCTAGAAAGTTTATATATTAAGAAAGTTATATGAAAAAATTAAGACTCAATATGTAGGCCGGCGCCGCGGCTCACTAGGCTAATCCTCCGCCTAGCAGCGCCGGCACACCGGGTTCTAGTCCCGGTCGGGGCGCCGGATTCTGTCCCGGTTGCCCCTCTTCCAGGCCAGCTCTCTGCTGTGGCCAGGGAGTGCAGTGGAGGATGGCCCAGGTGCTTGGGCCCCGCACCCCATGGGAGACCAGGAAAAGCACCTGGCTCCTGGCTCCTGCCATCGGATCAGCACGGTGCGCCGACCGCGGCGGCCATTGGAGGGTGAACCAACGGCAAAGGAAGACCTTTCTCTCTGTCTCTCTCTCTCCCTGTCCACTCTGCCTGTCAAAAAAAAAGACTAAATATGTAATATAACTGTAAATGAAAAAATATCTGTGATTTGAAATATTGTGCCTGAAGAAAATAAATTTCCATGGGATTTCTATACATTTAGTTTGCTATTAGTGATAAACTATTTAGCCTAGCTCAAGGTAAAAAAGTGAAGAATTCATGGTACAGTTAAAAAAAAAAAAAAAAAAAGGACATTTCATTCTTGTCCCTTGTTGAATAGCTCTCACTCATTAAACATCAGTAAGCAGGTATGAGTTATAAGATAGACAAACTCTGCCATGGAAGGGTGAAATGAAAGGTTAATGTTACTGGATTTTTTTTTTTTACCTCCTTAGCTTTGGAACTTCTACCAGTGGTGCTTTTAGAACTCTTAGTGTTTTGCCCAGCCAAAGTCTGAAATATTAAATAACACAAGAACCAGAATTTACACAGGTTATTAATATCAATATTCAAAAAAAGGAATTTAAACATAAAACATTATTCAACTATAATCAATTATGCAAGTATAATTATCTAACAAGCACACAAAACTAAGTCAACAGTCACTGAATGGTATAAACAACTCTCAAAGTTGGAATTAAATTCGGTCTTTCTGATCATTTCTTCCTTAGATCCACAATGTCTAATTTGGGCAATTAGAAACCTGACAAAGCATCAGTGTAAGAGAGGAAATCACCTCCCATTCAGAAGCAAAGTGCTGAATCAGCTAAGGAGATTCACTGCACACTTTTTCTTTAAACTACATAGGTTTATTTCTGATCAACTTCTATACACAAATGCTTTTCAAACCTGTTAATAAATTATGAACTCGAGTTTCACACTCTAAAATGCTATTGGCTTCAATCAATGAAACTGTTTAAGGAAGGGACATGGGAGCTTAGGGTGAGCTGAAAGTAAGCAGGTGCAAACATGAAATAAGATTACATCTTCTACTCCACAGCTACAGCAACAGAGCTAAACACGTCAAAGACACAGTGAGCCATTCTTTCTACTCTCCTCACCTTATTGTTGCTGTCATCCCGCTTCATGATGGAAGATCTAGCCTCTGTTTCCTGAGACTGTTTTGTTATGTCCTTGTGATCCAGTTTAGAATCTTTGCCTTGCAAAGCTGAGATCCTTCCACTGCCTCCTTTGGTAACACCACTCTGAGTGGTTTTGAATTTACTGCTGTTTTCCGCCAAGCCTGACCTGGCACTTGCAGGTTTAAGTAGACCAAATTCCTTGGTTGAAAGTTTCTTTTCTGCATTTATTTGATCTCTGAGCACAGATTTCAGAAAACTTTTCTGATTTTCAGTTTTCGAAGCAGTAGCTTTTGCCTTAGGAGTAGAGATCATTGTAGTCTTGATGCTTGATTTACTGTTAGATACATGCGATACAGCCAACACACTGGTTTTACTAGTTTCATCAGGCTTAATAGTCTGTCCCACTCCTTTATTTGGGTATGCCTTAATTACAGCGTTTTCTGCAGGTTTCTCTTTCACTGCTGCCATAATCTTTTCCAATTTTTCTGCAACCATCCTAGCTTCATTCTTTTCAGCCTCCTCTGCTCCTATCTGTATATCTACTCTGGTTTCCTTAGCAGCAAATTCATTCTTCTCATGTTCATCAATGTTACTTTGTTCAGAAACATCTTTTTTGCTCACTGCCTTCTCATCGCTAGAGGAAACTCCTGGTACTAAAGTTACAACACAAGCAGCTGGCATTATTTCTGAAACAGCTTCATGTTTGTCCACTTCAGTTACCGCTTCTACCACAGACTGTGTAATTCCAGAAAGGAAATCTGCTTCAGATGGAGATTCTTCTAGAATTTCTTTGATGTTCCTTTCTTTTATAAATGCACTGTCAGATGTTGACAATTCTGTTTCAGCATTAATTTCTGCCTCTTCCTTCTCAAAGTCATTAGAAAATACTTGTTGATTTAAAGCAGATTCCTCTATATTTTCAGTGAATAGCTCAATACTGGTAGGAGTGGGTGCTAAAAGAGGAATTTCTACTTTGACCTCCTCTTCTTGATTTTCAACTTGCAATGTTTCAATAGTAAAACCAGAGTTACATAGTCCTTTTTCAGGTTCTTCCTCACAAGGCTCTTCTTGCTGTACCAAAGTTTCTGTTTGTAGGCTAGGAGTAATTTCTTCTTCAATCTCATTAGGTTGAACAGAGGGACTATCAGTTGCTGTCTGTACCTCACTTTCATCAACTGGATTGTTTTTCAAACCAGGGCTAAAAGTATTTTAAAACAAAAACAACAACAAAAAAAGAACACAAACCAAAATCAAACTATGATGAGGATTCAACCATTATAATTAATCCTACGGATGCTACTTGCAAAGATTTCCTGATGTATCATAAATAAGCTTTGGAAAATCCAGCCAATTAACAGTAAAAACGGTTAAGAAGTTTTTGGAAATATGTAAACAATACAAAAATTTAAAAGATACTCCATCTCAATGAAGCTTTCTCTTTAATTTGAAGGAAACAATGGCAAAACTACAAGCATTGATATGCTCCTTTTACTCATCGGAGTTAAAAACCAATTTTGCTCCCTACTATGTCAACTTGAGATCCTCAAATTATATAATCCTAACCTCCCAACAGTTTTTAAAACAGTAAAATGTTGGTACTGTACTATAATGAAATTGATGAGTGATGCACTGAAATTTAAAGTGAATTTTTTTAAAAACAAAAAAGGTAGTAGGAAAAGGCTATACTCCTAACCATATCATTTTTTTAAAAAGATGTGATAGCTTTTACATTTTCAAGAACTGCACTGATTAACTGATCTTACCTCATCTAGTCTTTCCAAATCAAAAGAAAATGAATGTGATTTTGTAATTTCATTACTTTCAAGGAAGCAAAGACAGAATGAACTATCTTTATATTAATGTTCCATAGGTCAAAGATTATTCTGAATAAGGAAAATCTTAGCTTCTGAAGACAATGTCTATCATTCTACCAACACAAATTAAAGTTAACACATTCACAAAATTACATTAGAAGCAGGTTAGAGACAGACATCAGAAAGTGATCAAACCATATCAATACCTCACAATAAAGAATAACAACATTTTTCTCCCTTTTTCAAAGAAGGAGGCATACAACCAATTCCCTTTAACAAGCTTCTTAAAGGGTGGCTAAACATCCTTTAGTTAACAATGCAACACAGTGTTTTGTGTCCTGAGATGATGTCAATCATATTTCAGAAGTTTAGAAAAAGTGCTATAACATCAGGATAGTCAATGAACTGAAAAATCCCTCACTTCCAACAAAGATTTAAGTTTAAGGTTCCGAAGGAGAAAACTTTTCTATGAGATCAGATAAATAACTCTTGATCAAAAGCTGCAAATGCGGGGCCGGCGCTGTGGCGTAGCAGGTAAAGCCACTGCCTGCAGTGCCAGCATCCCTTATAGGCACCCATTCAAGTCCCAGCTGCTTCTCTTCTGATCCAGCTCTCTGCTATAGCCTGGGAAAGCAGCATAAGATGGCCCAAGTCCTTGAGCCTCTGCACTGATGTGGGAGACCTAGAAGAAGCTCCTGGTTCCTGGTTCCTGGCTCTGGATTGGTGCAGCTCTGGCCACTGCGGCCAACTGGGTAGTGAATCAGCAGATGGAAGACCTCTTTCTCTGAATCTCCTCCTCTCTCTGTGTAACTCTGACTTAAAATAAATAAATCTCTCTTTTTAAAAAAAAATGTTGCAAATGCCACAGTGCTTGCATAATTTAAGTATTTAAGTTGAAAAGCCAATAATCATAGACCTTAGTCAACACAGATTCTATTATTCATAAGCTGAAAAAGTCATTTGAAACAATTCACATCTTTATTAGTCAAATATCAATGACTAACTTTAGTGTTCCAAATTCTTAGGATTATGTAAAATACAAATTGTTGCTCAGCATAAACGACAAAGACACAGCTGTGACATTCACTGTTACAACAGTTGTGTAAAGATTATTTCTAAAAATATAAACTTTGGTTTTTTAATTTCAAAATTCACTTCCCATAATGAAAATCACATTCATTACTGAGCTGAGTATTAACCCTAAATTAGGGCTATAAAAATATTCAATGGTATAGAAAGATAATAGTGGAAATTTTGGTTCCCAGCTCAAGCTCATAGAGAGAGTTCTCCCTTACTACCAAAAAAAGTTACTATTTTTACACAAAATGAATCACTAAGTAGTGCCACCCTCACACAGAGAAAGACCACCTATGTGGAAAAATGGTTTAATTCCATATATGTCTCGTGTGCTGGTCTTTAAAAAAAGTTTTCTTCACAGAAATCATTTACCACATATTAGTATCATTAGTATCTATTTGCTAAAATAGGCAAAGGCTTCACTAGTGAGCAAGGTAGCTTACAAAGCCAGTCTGAGATGTCAAATAAATGACATTGTTAATATCAGAGTTAAACAAGTCTTTTTAAAGATTAAAGCAAAACAAAATCATTCTGGGAAAGGCACAGAAAAGGATCTCAGGAAGGCATCTGATTTCGCATTCTCCATCTCATCTGCATTAATGCCCGAATTTTAAGACCTTCAGAAAATGCATACAATAAAAGCTGGGCATTTTGAACAAAGGTTAACACTGTAAGACACACATCCCAAGAAACTAGATTTGGACTTCACAATCCTGGAGATCAGTGTTTATTTCAGAGCTCCAATACTAATGAATCATCTAGCATCCTTATTTGGAGCTTTAAATATGTGAAATGAACCCTGTTTATCCAGTAGAGGGTGAGTACAGGCATCATGGATTACTATTAAATTATAAAAACATATCCATGTGAGATCTTCTCTAAATAGGAAATCTACTTAAATAAAGTTTCATCATAAACAAAAAGATCACATTCTGATGAGCTGGCAACCATTAAGTACTTTAAAAAATACCACTACAACTCTTTTCTCAGCATCAGTTTACTCCAAAAGAAATGTATAGTGTTCTGGTCATATCCCACATCTTTTTCTCTAATAAATAAAAGAGGGAAAAAACTGATGGCAAAAGAAAATTTTAGGTGCAGGTGGTATTTGGTGCAACAATTAAGACACACTTTGGAACTCTACATCCCATTATCAGAGTGTCTGGGTTTGAGTCCTGCCTGCACTTTTATTCTAGCTTCCTGCTAATGGGCATCCCAGGAGGCAGCAAGTGATGGCTGAAGTATTGGATTCCTGCTATCCATGTGGGAGACCCAGACTGCATTCCAGGCTTCTGGTTTTGGTCTGGCTCTGCCCTAGCTGTTGCAAACATTTCTGGAGTGAATTGTTAGATGGAAGATCTCTCTTGATTTTCAAATAAATGAAAATAAATAAGAATTTTTAAAAACCACAGTGGGTATTTAGCCTAGTGATTAAGTCACCTACATCTCATATCAAGTGCCTGAGTTGGATACCTGCCACTGGCTCCTGACGCCAAACAGGCTCTGGAAGCAGTGCTTCAACTAATTGGGTTCCTGCTGCCCACACGGGGGATCTGGACTGTATCTCAGCTCCTGGCTTCAGTTGGGCCTTGGCTGTTGTAGGAATTTGGGGAGTGAACTGATCAGTGGACTGGGAGCTCTGTTTCTGTTTCTGTCTCTCTGCCTCTCAAACAGACAACAGTTTTTCTTGCAGACCTCAAATGAAATAGATAAAATGAATTTTGGGAAGAACATACTTACTTAGCAGCAACAGTTATTATAGCCAAATTGTAGGTCTATCTGTACTACTCCATGAAGTACTGTTATTTATGAAGCTCTTTGTAAGCTGTTATAACAAACATGACAGGTGGTATTATGCTTTAGGGAAATGAATGTAATTGGTATGATGAAGTCAACAACTACAAAAAGTGTGTTGACCAATACACCAAGCCTGTTTCGCTTGAAGTTACCAATGTACTGACAATCACCTTTATCTAAACCATGATTTTGTAAGAAATATTTACTGAGAAGAAAAATCCAGTAAGACATTTTGTTTCGTAGGCATCTCAAAACAGTACATCAAAAAACAAACACTACACTTTAAAACAGAATGAAAATGCGATTTCAAACTTACATGCTTATACAACATGGGCTAGCAAACACTAGTGATTCAGTTAGTATACAGGAAGGAAAATAAATATCCCAAATCAGTGATTTAAAATGTAAAACAGGGGCCAGCACTGTGGCACAGCAGGTTAAAGCCCAAGCCTGCAGCGCCAGTATCCCGAAATGGGCACCGGTTCAAGCCCCAGCTGCTCCTCTTCCAATCCAATTCTCTGCTGTGGCCTGGGAAAGCAGCAGAGGATGACCCAAGTCCTTGGGTCCCTGCACCAGTGTAGCAGACCGGGAAGAAACTCCTGGCTCCTGGCTTCGGATCAGCTCAGCTCTGGCCTTTATGGTCATTTGGGAAGTGAATCAGCAGAATGGAAGACTGCTCTCTTTCTGGCTCTACCTCTCTCTGTAACTGTCTTTCAAATAAATAAAATAAATTTTTAAATATAATGTAAAACAGTGAGAGGCAGGTTAATAATTGGTGGGACAACAGCGGTGACAAGGAAGGTATCCATCAGAATAAAAAAGTAACTAAGGGGAAGGTGTCTTTTATGCAGCCCAAACAAGGTTATAAGTCTCTACTTCGTAGACTTTGAAAACTAAGCTTTCATCCTCTGAAAATAAAAAGCAGTGTATTTAACTTTGACAAAAATCCCTTCTTCAAACTATAGTTGCTTTTAAGAACTACCAAAACACACATGAAAGCTACCTTTTTGTTTTAAGTTAATGCAATTTAGATAGTTCAAACATTATTATTGTGTTTAATTATTCTAGGACAGAAAAAGTAACAACAATATATAATATTGCTTAGAGTTTAGTTAACAGCCTTCTGAAAACATTTTATAAAGAAGTCATATTTGTACATTTAATTCAATCTATGTTTGTACACTCAACTTCTCTAAATAATCAAGAAATACCTTAATGAGACAGAGAAAGCAACAAACCCCTAGTTCAAACAACTATGAAAGAACCCACAACAAGCCCACATTTGCATTAAAAAACCTTCTAAGACAGGAACTTTTTGCTATGAGTAATTACTTAAAATGCAGAAATGAAACTCAAAAGAAAAAAAAACCTCTTCAAAAATGTTAGAAAACTTAAAAAGCAACATACCTTTCTTTTCCTAGTTCTGGGTCATTCTCAGTTTGCGCCTGTAATATAATTGACATTTTATTAGAGGCAATTCTACTGGACTTTAAGTATATTTAACCTATCAATGAAGTGCATTCAGTGAAAATACAAAAAGCAATACCTCTTAGGGGCCACCACTGTGGCATACTGGGTTAAGCTGCCACCTGTGATGCCAGCATCCCATATGGGCACTGTTTTGAGACCCAACTGTTCTACTTCTACTCCAGCTCCCTGTTAATGCACTGGGGAAAGCAGCAGAGGATGGCCTAAGTGCTTGGGCTTCTGCACACATGTGGGAGACCTGGAGGAAACTCCTGGCTCCAGACTAGTCCAGCTCTGGTCAACGTGGTCATTCAGGGAGTGAACCAGCAACAAAAGAGCTTTCTGTATCTCTCCCTCTCTTTCTGTAACTCTGCTTTTCAGATAAATAAATTTTCAAAAAACAAAAAGAAATGAGCTACAAACTAAGAGAAAATTTTGCTTACTGGACTATGCATACTGATCCTCCCTGGAAATTTCTACATTAATAAGTATGTTCCTCAGGCCTTCACCCTTATTTTTCTAAAAACTTCTCCTTGATATGTATGTGTAGAGCTTCTCTCTTCCTTCAGATATCGCTAGTAACTGTTCTGTAGGGGGCTAATACTGACCATTCTAAGAAATACAACTTCTTACTGATCACTCTTTTTTTTCCCCCCGATTGTTTCATTAACAGTTTTAACTTGTTGACATTTATGCAGGCACACAGACAACAAATTTGTGTTATCTGTTTATCATCTATTTACTCCATTCAAATACAATTTTTGTAGGATTGGGACATGGGATAGTGACCCTGCTATTCACCAATGTATTTCAACATGTCTAAAAGTGATGGCACAGAAAAGAATTAAATATTAGTTTAATGAATAAGCCCTAAACATTATCAAAGATACAGAATACCTACAGGTATGGTAAGAATTGGTCTTCCCAACAGTACTAGCTGCTGAAAATCAAAGGCAAAATAATGTGAGCACCAAATTCTCTACCTAGAAAAACTACTGATAAAGTATCTAGGAGGAAAGTAATAAAATAGTTCTTTTCTTTTTTTCTCTTTTTTCTTTTTTGACAGAGTGGACAGTGAGAGAGAGACAGAGAGAAAGGTCTTCCTTTACCGTTGGTTCACCCTCCAATGGCCGCTGTGGCCGGCGCACCGCGCTGATCCAAAGCCAGGAGCCAGGTGCTTCTCCTGGTCTCCCATGTGGGTGCAGGGCCCCAAGGACTTGGGCCATCCTCTCTGCACTCCTGGGACACAGCAGAGAGCTGGACTGGAAGAGGGGCAACTGGGACAGAATCCGGCGCCCTGACCAGGACTAGGACCCGGTGTAATGGCGCCACAGGCGGAGGATTAGCCTATTGAGCCCCGGCACCGGCTAAAATAATTTTCAAATATGAAAGGACTCAGAAAATTTACCTCCCATATTTTCTGGGGTAAAACATTATTTGAAGATGTACTCTAGCAAACTTTATTTCTCACTTTATGGATTGCTCTACAAAGTCTAAGAAGTAGCAGAAATAACTCAGAATAACAATGAAAAGAAAACAAAGGATTGGTTTACAAAGCACACAAATAGCCATCATTTAGAATAGGAAGCCAGAGAATACCTCTAAGAGAATAGATTCTATTCAACAGAAGTATTAAACTACATAATCTGAGTTACATAATGAAGATATTTTCTTTCCCCTTTCAAAAACAAAATGCAAGAAATTCATCTCTGAGTGCACAAGTGTGTATATATATATTTCCTTTTTTAAAGAACCACTCTCATTATTACTTAATTTATAATCAAGATATTAAAAATGCTAATATTGCTTTTCAATACTTAGAATTGAGTACTATAGATTTTGTATGCATATTATCTATAATTAAAGAAGGCTGGGGCCAGCACTGTGGATTAAGCCACTGTCTGCAATGTCGGCATCCCACATGGGTGCTGGTTTGAGACCTGGCTGTTTCACTTCCAATCTAGCTCTCGGCTGATGGCCCAGGAAAGCAGTGGAAGATGGCCCAAGTGCTTGGGCCCCTGCACCTATACAGGAGACCCACAGGAAGCTCCTGGCTCCTGACTTGGGCCCAGCTCCAGCCACTGACTGCGGCCATCTGGGGAGTCAACTAAAAGGCTGGAAGATCTGTCTCTTCCTCTCTCTCTATAATTCTTTCAAATAAAATAAATCTTAAAAAGTAAAAAGAGAAAACATTAAAAAATAACTAAAGGCTATAATGTTCTATACAATGAAGTAACCTTTACAACTAACGAAAGTGGGGAGGTACTGAGACAGCAATATAGACATAATTAACTTATTTTAAGTAGCAGTAACTCATTTTAAGTAGTAAAAACTGTAGTGACAAAAATCTGAGGGTGAAATGAAGCATTCACATTAAGCCAAATGTACTTTCCAACTTAATAAAATAGAATGAACAAGGGTTTGGGAAGTAAAGTACCCATCAAGACAAATTTTATAAACTTTCGCTTCTTTCATTAAAGAATTTGGGTACTATATAGCTGGAAGAATTCTTATATAGCCATTGTGTAATATGAACTTAATTGAAAAAAAACTTGAAAATCATGAATGACATAACTTAACAAAATGCAATTTTAGTGGCTGGCACTATGGCAAAGCAGGTTAAACCACTGACTGTACGGTTAGCATCCTAAGATGAAACTCCTGTTGAAGTCCTGAGTGCTCCATTTTGGATTTGCTAATCGGCCTGAGAAAGCAGATTCATGGGCCCTTGCCACCCATATGAGCAAACTGGAGTTCCTGGCTACTGCTACTGCTTCAGCCTGGACCAGCCCCAGCAATTACAGTCATTTGGGGAGTAAACCGGCAAATAGAAAATCGGTTACTCTATCTCTCTTTCTCTCCCCTTACCGCTCCCCCTGTCTGTGTCTCCTTGAGACTTTGCCTTTCAAATAAATAATAGGTAATCTAGGAGAATTTCCAAGATGGCAGAATAGGGAGGGAGCTTACTGCTCTAGTCTAAGGGGAAGATAGTAAGAAAAAAAAAAAAAAAGTGGAGAGAAGCAGTCTCAGGGGAGAGTCAGAGAGCAAACTCCACACAAATTATAGAGGGACACTGTGGATCTATGTGGAGGGTGTGGATGCACACAAATCAGGACCCCAGCAGCCAAGAATTTCAGCACCAGCTTTGGAGAGTGAGGTGAGACCAGAATGCAGTAGCCCAAGCTATCAGTGATAAAGCAGTGTGAGTCTGGCTTGGAGCTCTGTGGAGGACAGTATTCCTGCCAACCTAGAGGGGAAAAAAGGGGGACACGCTTCTTTCTCCCCAACCACTTGGCAATGGCATTCTGTTACTAGCCGAGAGAGGGAAGGTGCCATTTTGGACATACATAACAGCTGCACCAGCTCCTGTCCACAGGCCTGGCAGCCGGTTGAGAGGAGACACCTGAGTCTGGCTGGGTGCTCGTGACTGTGGGAGTCTTATGTGCTGGGACTGTGAAAACACTGTGGCTGTGAGAGAGGGCACAGGGTGTGCCTGGGACTTTGGGCAGTCACTGTGGATGGATGCACATGCTTGGAGATCCCTGATTTCTGGGTGAGGGTCACTGCTGTAGGATCCATGCTCACACTGACGACTGAACAGATTCTTTCTGTGGTTCTTGTGGCAGTGCAGACAATATTATACTCACTAGGGCAAGCACCAAGGCACTGGTCTCCTTGGAGTAGAGAAGGTGAAAAAGGAAACAAAAGGGAAGGGAAAGGGAAAGGAAAAGAGATTTACCACTCCCAACTTGGGTGTCACCTTGGACACTCCTCTCACTCTGGAGCACTGACAAAGCTCACTGACCATACCCAGCACATGTCTCTGGGTGTTCACTGAAAGAGCAGACACTAAGCCACAAAGGCATAGTCCAAAGATAAAAAGCCATTACAGGGGAAAAAAAAAACAAACCAGCAAGTATCTCCAAAAATGCCTAATAATAAAGCAGCAATTCAAGAAACAAGAATAAGGTAGACAACATGATGCCCCCCCAAAAGCACAACACTTCAAGATTAGAATATGAAGATGAAGAGATTGAAGAAATACCAGAAACAGAATTCAAAAAATTGATCATAAGGTTATTTAGAAGTAATCAAAAGCAAATCCACAAACTAAAGAAATCCATACATGACCACATGAAAAGTTTTCCCATGAAATTGAGATTTTAAAGAGAAATCAAAATAAGATACTGGAAATAAAGAATTCAACAGAACAAATAAAAAATGTGGTAGAAACCCTAAACAACAGACTGGGTGAGGCAGAAGAAAGAATATGAGTTAGAAGACAAATCACTAGAAATTTTACAGTCAGACTAAAAAAAAAAATCAGAAAACTAAAAAACAGTGTTGGAAATTTATGGGATACTATCAAACAACCCAACCTATGGGTCTTGGGAGCTCCTGAAGGCATGGACAGAGAAAATGGATTAGAAGGCCTTTTTAAGGAAATAATTACAGAAAACTTTCCTAATATGGAGATTGGGATATCCGAGTCTAGGAAGCACATAGAACTCTTAAAAGACATGATCAGAAAAGGTCTTCACTACAACACATTGTAGTCAAACTCTCCACAGTAAAACATAAAGAAAAGATTCTAAAATGTGTATGAGAACTTTCAGAGCATCTCCAATTAGATTCAACAACTGACTTCTCATCAGAAACCCTACAGGCTAGGAAAAAATGATGAGATATATTCCAAGTCGTGAGAGAAAGAAACTGTTAACCCAGAATACTGTACTCTGCAAAGCTCTCATTCATGAATGAAGGTGAAACAAAGACCCTCCATTACATAAACCGAAAGAATTTGTTACCACTTTCCCAGCCTTACAAAGGATGTTTAAAGATGTGCTTTACACAGAAACATGGTCACCACTACGAAAAAAAGGTGGAGGCAGAAAAATCTCCCAGTGAAAGTACAAAAGAAATCTAAAGTAAACAATAGGAATATTTATGGATAAATGGCAGGCCAAGTCCTTATCAA